AGTCCGGGACGGGCTGTCACATCCCTACCAATAGAAAATTGACATCTAAATCTTGTTTTATTTCTTTTTAGTAAAATAAATTCTTAAAAGTTGGAAGTCTGTCAAACAAAAACTAAAGGATTGTACTTCCCCATCAAGCGCCTCTGCAACTTGCTTTCGAATTCCATCATATTTCCTATTCGACTTTGAATTCAATCTTGTTTGCCCAGCACTCACCCTCCACTTTTGAATCGAAAACCGTAGTCTAAAAAGAGAGAAAAAAACTAACGGAGGTTAACTTCTAAATCTCAAAGCCTGCTGCTCCCAAACCTGATTATTTCCCTCTTTCTATATCTCACATTTTTATTTTCTTGGTGCTGGTAAATTTTGTGGTGATTTCTGAATAAGTGAAAAGATTTACAAAATGAGTAATTGTTAATGACGATAAGAGCTGATGGTGGAAATACAAATCCATTAAATTAATTTGTTTTCCATCGACGGTTTAGCATCTCAGTTTTTAAGAATTAAAGATATAAAAGAATATTTAGGTGTCAAATTTCAATTGGTGGGACCACCAGCTAGCTTTTGTGTTGGGAACACCAAAAAATTTCTCCACAGTGAGCTAGCGTTTCTGTCTTCTGATGAATCGATATTCAAATTATCGACAAATGGTTTTGGTTTAGGTTACTATTTAAGCAATAGGCTTTGCTGAGAGATCCACTAAATGGTGTGGGTTTATAATCACAATTTTAAAGAAACTTTGGTTGAACTGATTCTGCAAATCTAGTCGAAGACAAGTTGAATTGATTTTGCAAAAATGATCGAGGACGGGTTAAAGTGATTTTGCAAAAATGGTGGGTTGAACTAATTCTGCAAAAATTGTCGATGATTGATCGAACTGATTATGCAAAAATAGTCGAGAATCGGTTGAACAGATTCTGCAAAAATGGTCAAGACTGATTGAATTGATTCTGCAAAAATGATCGAAGATGGGTTCAACTGATTCTGCAAAAATGGTTAAGGACGAGTTAAACTGATTCTGCAAAAATGGTCGAGGACAAGTTGTACTGATTCTACAAAAATGGTGGGTTGAGTTGGAACTACAAAAATGATCGAGGACTAATTGAATTGATTCTACAAAATGGTCAAGAACTGATTGAACTGATTATGCAAAAATGGTCGATAACAGGTTGAACTAATTCTGCAAAAATGGTCGAGGACGGGTTGAACTGATTTTGCAAATTGGTCAAAAACAGGTTAAACTGATTCTGTAGAAATAGTCAAGGATGGGTTGAGCTTATGACATATATTAATTTTGTTGGGTTGTGAGTCGTTGGGTTCTATTAACAGCCATAAGCCTTAGGGGTATATTTGGTATTTTAGAACATCGTTTTCATGTTTTGGGGCTAGGCTTTAGTTGTTTTTATATTTTTGTCTCTCCTTGGCAAGCTAAAAAATTAGTAGAGTTCCTTGAAATACAGTGAAAGTTTTTGTCTCTCTATATAAAGCTCCCATAAAAGAACTATTGTTGTGAATATTATTTATTATATGTGATTGCTCAAATCCTAGTTATATTGGGTTTTAGATTACTCATTATTCAACTGATTGGAAGTCAAGTTACTCCTTCCTTTTGGTTTACTATAAATAAAGGCATGGGCATAAGGAGAATCACACAATCCCTAAGAGCATTTCCAATGGAATTCCCTATTTAGAGACTCCCAACACCATTTTTGAGTACTCATTTAAGAATTTAAAGGGAATCTTTGTGTCCCTAAAGGAATATTGGCTCTAATGAGAGAGTCTTTATAGTAGAATCCCTAAATTTGAAGTTTTTATCATTTTATGTGATAATTTGATTAGGTGCACATATATTAACTTTTTTTAATTCATTAAAAGCATTAAAATCTTCAATCCAGATTATGGGCTCATTTTCCACTCAAGGTGTACATTTTTTTTGTTTATGTTAACATTTTTTAACTTTTTTTAATTAATTAAAAGCATTAAAATCTTCAATCCAGATTATGAGCTCATTTTCCACACAGGGTGTACATTTTTTTGTTCATGTTAACATTTTTTAATTGTTAAATAAAAAATAAAATAAAATAAATTACAATTTAATTAAAATTTTATTATAATTGGCAAAGGAGTGGGCTCTGCTCTTGCCATGTCATCAGCTAAATTGACAGAAATTTTAACGGAGGTCTGACATTGCAACGAATTCATAAGTTAAGGAATGATATTGCAATGTTTAAAACATGAGATATGAGATTGTGGTTAGATCCATAGTCGAGGTAGTTTTTTGTAATTTACCCTTTTTTTTTTAAAATCATGAGTGACAGGCTTCGAGCTGCACTGCCAGCACCATGCCAGTAGCCTATGCAACTGAACCAAGCCGCTAGTCGTCGAGCCACAAGCCTAATGGGCCTTATGGACCAAAGACCATTGGACCTCGAAAGCCTGAGATTAATTTAAAGCCTAATACGAACCTTTCGTATGATTAATTAACTATTTTGATCATACTGTTTGGTTGATAGGCTATTTCATGTCTATTATCCAATGTGATACTTCTCTATATAATTCTATTGGATATGATTTGGAACACGCTTCCTAAATCACATTCATATGCTTTGGCCAAAAACATCTGAATCATATCTCAGATTATTCTCCTTCCACTATGGAAGGTTAGAGATCCATTGTTGCACATTCACATGCCTACATGACTAGGTAGCTTAACCCCAACAATGTCGTGGACATCCTCAATGGAATGGCTTTGACATAATCAAAGGTCAATGACCTAACCACTAAACAACTACGATGCCTCAAGTCAAAAGACTACTTTGCATTATTGCGACCATTGAGTTCTTATATAACACGTATGTTAGAACTCTCTCGCTGATCATTGTTTAGTGTACTCAACAACCTTTGGAGCACCTATGTGTTTGTCATAGTGTCCAAATAGTAATGACTTTGAGAATAATCATACTCTTGATAGAGTTGACATAACACATACTAACCTTAGTGGATTGTCAATGTCCAATTGACAATCCTATGGCTTGGAACACTTTAGGAATGCTAACACTTATATCACTTTCCTCTTGGGTGGATTACATTCCTTTGATTCTGTTATTGATTAAACACACAATACATTAAATAGGGATTGACAATGAACAATGCCCTTCCAATAAAGTAAACAAGAGTTTAACATAATAAGTATTCCAAAAGCTACATTAAATTGGCTTTATAGGCATACTTCTAATAGTAGGGAGGTACTACAGAGTCAACACCACCTTGTAGTTCATTACCTCTCCAATAAGTCTTGGGCTAAAGCCTTGCAGACCCCCTCCGAAGCAAGCGTGCTAAACGTGGTTTATTCACCCTTTACTTTGGAGTCACTAGCCACACACCCCCCCCCCCCCTCCCCCCCAAAAAAAAAAAAAAACCTTTGACATTTTAGGGGCTCTAAGCGATCATGAGCGAAGACGTGTCAAGGTGAAAGCGCTTGGAATTTTTGAACGTAAATTTGTGCACGAGCCTATCCAAACAGGGGAAGAATAGAGATCGAGTTGTCCTGTCTTAAGCCAGTCCTACTACACCCATCTTTTACTATTTTGAGCTTATTCATAAGCTTGGGGCTACTTTTAATTTATGCTTGCTATAAGGGCTTCCACCACTTATTCCTACGCTTAATCGGGTCTCGTAACCCATGTGACATTCACTTCACAGCCTGATTAATTAAATAAATGTACGGCGTTTGAACATAGGCGTCCTAGCTACGCCATGCATTCAATACAAAATCTGGAAAACTGCAGGTGTGACAAAACAAAAAGAGAGCGCTTTCCTGTCTTACTTGCCATCAAACGTCTAGTAAACATCCTTCTATGAGCCACAAGATTAAAGATGAAAATGAGGCTATCATTAGGCGAAGATCATTGATCATACTTTCTTTCCTCGTCCACTATCAAGTAAGAGAACGTCATAGCACAGACACAAGCAGAAAGGGATTGGCTTGGCTGGATAGAACAGATGCGATAGGAAACTATGGCCAGTAGAGTCCCGCCCGATCCATTTTGTAAGACGGGCAAAATCAACGGGGTTAATCTGGTCTGAAGTTGTCGGAAAGAATGGTTTGCTTTATCGAACAAAGACGCATTAGGAGAGGGCCTTGGGTTGCCCTCTGTTGGTAATGCCGGGCACACATCAAAGTAAAGTGCTCCTCCTCCTCGTCAACTATCGATAACCTGCCTGAAGAGTTCTTCAGGCACTTCACAGTCTTTGCTAGCCTCTCCATCAATTGGGAAATCTGACCCTTAATCTTTGTATTCAAAATAGGGTTACAGAATATGAACATTGTCTTTTCCACAAAAGTAATATCATTAAGAGTCCATGAAATTTATAATAGTTGGTAAAGAGCTACGAATCGTGAAAATCCATCACTTCAAAAAATCAACAAAAGTCCATATGAATCGTAATGCAAGCTTTTCAAATTAAGTCTGAGAGCATCGCACTTTGGACATAAACATATCAAACTAAATTTCACAGCTAATATCATGAATTAGGTAGATGGGGATGATTTTTTCTTTTCTCCACTAAAAGAAAAAAGTGTTTTTCTGTGCAACTTATAATTGAACAACAAAAAAGAAATCATACCTTGGAATGGAAATGTCATATGATGCAATGCAAGAAACAAAGCCGTGCCGCATCAACCACATTTAGATAAGTTTATTTTCGTCTCTTGTCGACGAAAAAAGAGTCTGAAAATCATTTCTTATAAGCCACAAGTAAACTAGTAATATGTTTCAAAGTTTTTTCAAAACGACTGGAAAGATTTTTATAACTACTTTTTACACCAATTATTTATAGAAATACAAACAAATTCCAATAACTAAGTGTTTCTCTAACAATACACTTCAAAGGATTGCCCCAAAAGTGATTTCAGTCGTTTTAAAAACTCCTAGTCCATCAACTCATTGGACAACAACTAGGACAAAAGGGAGGGTGGGAACAAAAGGGAAGCACAAAAATCAACACAAACATGCTGAAATTCATAACCAAAGCATCTATTATACATAAGAAATTTGAAAAAAGAAAAGAAAGAAAAGAAACTAAAATGTGTCAAGTATGTTACAAATCTCAAAATATGCACAAAATTTACATTGCAAGTCCTAAGAAACCCTCAAACCATTGTTGTTTCTATTAAAATTCCACAAGTACTTTGCTTCCTCTTCTCCGTCCAAATTAACCACCGACTCCGTGTCCCCGTAATCTAACCTTACACGTGTTCGGCAAATCGGGCACGCCGACACCTTAACCAACCAGGTGTCCAGGCAGCGCCTATGGAACACGTGATCGCACGCCGGGAGTTTCCTGCACCACTGGCCTTCCCGGAACGAGTCGAGGCAAACAACGCAGTCTGTCTGCGGCGACGGCGACGAGGACGAGGATTGCGATTGGGGCTGGGGTCGGGCAGCTCTGAAGCGGAATTGGGGGAGGGTCTTGAGATGTTTGGGAGAGAACCCAGATGAGGGATGGGGGGATTGGGTGCGGCGGCGGTGGAGAGCGCCAGCGGCGAAGAAGGGGAAGAGAACGGTGGCGGCGAAGCCGAGGAAGAGGAAGAAGACGGAGGTTATAAAGGTCATCACCAGGGCCTTGATGATTAGAGAGAGGAGCTTTGGGTTGGGTTTTGGAGGTGGTGTTTGTGCAATTACATGGCTGTGGTGGTGGTGGTGGTGGTGGGGAGGAGGACGAGAAGGAGGTGATGGCAATGGAGGAGGAAGCATGACGTTGTTTTGAGGAAGGTTACGAGTTTAGATTCGGAAATGTTGGGAGGAAGTAATGGGAGAGAGGTTTGGTTTTGTGGATATTTTTGTTAGAGAAATCACGGTCCTTTTTTATTTATTTTTTAATTATTGAATTTATTTTTCAGGGTATGGTTTGTGGCCCATTGGATATGGCAATATGGCGGTTCGGGGTGAAAGGACAATTATACCCATTAAAGGTAAAACCACCTAGCTGTAGACTTGTGTCGTCTTTGTTTTCGTATCCTAATTTGTATTGTTAAAATGGGGTCATATGTTAAGCTGGGCCTGGTTAGGGGTAGGCCGTAACAAATTAGGGCCGGAAAAAGCCCACACCCAAGGTGCTGGCTTCTCTGCCCTCCCATTTTTCATACAATTTTATCATCTCCTATTTTGTACGGTCATAGTCAATATAAAATGTTGACGTGACTTAACTATGACCGTACAAATAAGAGGGGATAAAAGTGTATGGGAAGTGGGAGGATAGAGAAGCCAGTTCCCACACCCAATACAACATGTATATGTTTCAAATTGTTATAAGTTATTAGGATTGAGGGGATTGTTAATTTCCCTCTTGAATTTTCATTTAGTTTTCGAGTTTTTTCCTAAATTTTTCAATTGGAAGATTAAAGATTCAAAATAATTGTTGGCCGATTTTCTCCTGCTGTTAGTATTTCATTCATTCCATCCATATTTCTATTAAATGGAATCATGTGCACAACATGTAAGGATAGTTCGGTCGCTTCATTCTTTAAAGTAATTGAAAACCCTAGATTTCTAAAATGTCAACCTATGCAAGTTTGTGTGATTTCATAGTTTTTATGTCTAAAGGTCAAGCAAAGTGACGATTTTGTCCTCAAAGGAGAGTCGGGTGGTGTGCATGTGATAAGAGTTATCGTTAATTTGGATAAAATCTATGGATAGAAGGAAATCGGCCAAAAACCATAGTTTAAGTCCTTGATCATCCAATTAAAAAATTTGAAGGAAAATTGAAAGCTAAGTAAAAGTTCAAAAAAGAAATCGGCAGTTTAACTTATTAGGATTTCTAGGCAATGCTATTTGTAATCACTAGAAGCATTATGGTTTGCTGACATAACACAAGTGTTTCGCTTGTATTTCTCCGCTTTATAACATTAAGCAAATTATTTTTTCATTTAAATGTAAGTAGCGACTTTATCTGGAGGCGTGCAGATGTACTTTTGTAATAGAGGCGTGCAAATGTCCTTTGCTGGAACTACTTCCCTCCGACCAAAAACCACCCAGGGTACAAAAAAGAAAGTGTATAGGATAACACCGAGTGATACTCGTACCATATTTCTTACCATCTTCAATTGAAGGGCCAGAGGACTATAGACCAAATATAATCCTGTAATAAAAAATCATCTCCAACTGAAAGGACTAAAGAATCATAGAGCCAAACATAATTTATTATTTTAATGGAATTTATAAGATTGCTTAAATTAAACTATGCAACTTATTAAGCAACTGCTGAAGAAAAAATGAAAAGCTTACATAAATTCAAAGAAAGTGTTATCAAATTCTTACAGGTTACAATTTTCCTATCCAAAAATACAAAACAGGCCTCAGCCTCCTGCACAAACGATCTGCCACTCTAACAAGTACAATCATAAATAGAAGGTTAAAAGACCTGACCTTCAGAGAATGGTGGCCAAAGATGTAAAACAAATACCACAAGAGCACCGCAGCCACCCATCGCTTCGCATCCCGTATCTAAATTAGGACGGAAGGCAGTGAAAAAATGAATAAATTCTGCAACTCTAAGCCTTTGTCCGCCTAAACTCGAACTAGATTTCATAGTGATGAAATAGCAAGTTGGCAAGTGTATGCTTTCCAACATACTCCAGGCCTAAACTCGTGAGCTGCTTTGTACACTCGTCTCCTCCCAACTGCGAACAGAATTTGATATTATGGGAAACAACGATTCGCCCATCATAGGGTTTCAGTTTATTTGTCAATCTCTCTAATCCAACCCACACAAGCTTATCAGGCATATGAGGAAACACAGCGCTAGCATATATCAAGTCGTACACAACATCGGACCCAAATCTGCTCAAGTCCATGTTGTCGCCTTTCACAATCAAAGGGCGCTTGTGCAGAAGACCTTGGGAAGGAAGCTCGTATCTGAAGGCAGCCATTAGCGAGAGCTCATCTCTTTCAAGACAATGGAAGTGTCCGGGATTAAGATGGCGAATGAAATACAAACCAACTACTTCCTTTGACCCACAAACGTGCGCATATGTTATAACTGCAGGCACAGTAAAGTAGAACGAGAGAGAAAAATCTCTCAAACAAGTAAGAGAATACTCCAACTAAAGAATCATTAAGTTACAAAGAAATGTCTATCGAAACAAAAGGAATAGAACAAATCACTTCAAAGGATATGATCTAGTCTTAACTTCCATGTTCTGTAAATCTAGGCAATGATTAAGACTTAATCATTTCCTTTCTCTCCACCCTAATACATAAACCAAACAGAGCAACACAGAACTTGCCAAACTAGCATCGAAAAGATAAAAGTGCAAAGAAAATGCAGAAACTTAAGCAACAAATTCGAGTTCATGTCCACATAACTAAACAAATCTAAGCTTACTGATGCGATCTCATGAAAATCGAAGTTTACTGGTGTAATCTCAACTCCCCCACATCCTCACTTGGCACAAAAATCACATGAACTGGTACTCAAAATTAAAGTTGGCAGCTTTGAATCCAAGAATATAGTTCCCTAATTCACAATTGAATACCCAATTCCCAAACCCCATGCCAAAATCAATTGATGTCCAAATTCAAATCCACGTCCCCATTTCTAATCACACAAATGTGAACATCATATTATACAAGTACTTAGAGAGAGAGAGAGAGAGAGAGAGAGAGAGAGTACTGACTGCGAGAGATCTTCAAGCTGCTGAGCTCTGGTGCGAGGGTTAATTCCCTTCCTCAACACGTTATCCTGCATATGCAACCCATTCACTCGGATCTGATCCTTCACCCACTCCACACCTCCTTCGACCACCATATCGTCTCTCCTCCTCCGCCCTCCGCCCTCCGCCCTTCGCCACGCCAACACTGGGTCCATCGACATAATCCACACGCGCAATACCAGCACCACCGCCGCAAGTGCACGGCAACGATAAAGAGGACAAGAGAAAGAAGAAGAAAACTGCGGCAACTGACGCCGTGAGAACCAGCGCCGGCACCGTTATCACTATCCCCTTCGGCGACGACGACGTTGACGGTGACGACCACAGAGCCCTGTATATTCGATGGGAGAGAAAGAAGATGAATCAGAAGAAGAAGAGTGGAGGAAGAGGGAAGCTTGAGTCGCTGCCTGCGAGAGGAAGAGAGGCCGGCCCGGGCTAGCTGGCTGGCCCAAAGTAGCCAGCCGGTTGGCCTGATTCCTCTTTTTTGGCCCGGTGGAACCTACGAGTCTTTTGATCTAGTCTTCGGTTTAAGATTGTTTTTGTGTGATTTCGGGCTATTTTTGGCTCTTTGACCTTCTAGCTTGATCGGTTGGAGATGACCTAATATTCATGTCACTTAACTCCGAATTGAAACCCATTACAAATTGGGATTTGAATTCATCAACCCTAGAATCTGAGGGATTTTTCTAGTAAGGATTTTGAGATTTTGAGATTTGGGATTTGAGATTTGGAACCGGACCTAACCCGACTTGTTTGAAACGGGCAGGTTCGAGATGAGTTCACGGGTCCAATTCAATAGACGTCTCTGTTTCTTCTACAAATCCATTACAAATCCACCTTTTTTCTTCCTCCCAAGGGCGACTCAGTTGTGGTGGTTGTGATGGCAGCAATGGTCTCGGTGACTTCTATGAGAGTGGTTTCGTCGATGAGGAAAATAGTGGGTGGGAGGGAGTCTCGAGGTGAGTGGGACGACAGTGGGACTGGAGTCTTCTGGATAATACCATTTAATCCTGAGGCTGGGTTGGGTCTCGAGGCGAGACTTTGAACATTTGAGAGAGACATAGGGACTTATCTGCTACTGCGGCGTACAACTTCACTGCATGTGGAGCTCTTTTTCCAGTGTTTGTATAGATGGGTACTTTGGTCTTTAAGTAAAATGGGTAAGGGTATGATGGAAAGAAAGGTGTAATTTGATATGCATATTTGGAAGGGTACAGGTGGAATATGATAGTAGGGGATGGGGTTCAGTAAAGGAAGTGGATAAGATCAAACACATGGGAGGACATAGAAAAGGTGTTGATGACTTTAAGTTAGAAACGGGCCTTCGTGGCCCTGTTGTTCTAAATATTAGGATTTGGCCCGCCCTTTACGTACCATCGTCCTCGCCCCCACCCTGTTTAGAATTTAAAATTGGAACTGCCTCGTACTTGCCCCGAACCTGCATTACTCGCCCCAACCAGGGGTTCCAATACTCGTTTGCCCGCGCCTAATTTTACCATATATGGCTGACCCCTATTTTCCAAATAGGGCCGGTCACTCCCCTATAAATAACCCTATTCTCCCACTAAAATTCTAAGTCATTCTCTACCGACAAATTCCTAAACACATTCTCTTTCAAATTCTAACTTTGGCATCAAAGATTCTTTGGCCAAAGCCCCTCCCCCCATTCATTGTGGGCGTGTGAGGCTTTTGGCCTTAAACTTAGGTGTTATTATTTTGCAGGTACATTTTCGTCAAAGGAGAAGACGGTAGAAATTTGCATCCACACACACCTTTGTTAATTTTTGTCCTTTGATCTTCTTCAATTCATTACATTCGAGGACCGAAAATCGATGGGTGTGTGAGAAGTAAAAAAGGGTGTTGATAACATACCCCAAAATTTATCAAACAAGAGTGGCGGGGCATTAAAATTTTTATGAAAAATTTAGTATTTAGATGACTATATCATAAAAGCATAACTTGGTTACGAGTTTTAATAAAAAAGAAAGATCGAACAAAAATTTAAGTTCATAACTCAAAACTATTACCATGAGATTTTCCTTTCAATGTAATTGAATCTTCTTCTAAATGAATTTCCTTTTCAAAATTATTACATGAACTCAACAAAAAAGGAATTAATTTTTATATGATAAAGTGTAAGGCTTGTTGCAGTCATATTTAGAATAGGAATGTGATTGTGTAAAGCCTAGGGAATCTGGGAAAGTATTATATATTCCTATTAGGATTAGATTACCTATTAAATGTTGCAATCCTAAAGGGAAAGGTTTTACCCTTTCTACTACTATAAATAAAGGCACAGTGGGGTGAATCAAACACACCTCACAATTAAGTCAATCTCTCTTCTCTATCAATATTACCGAACCCCTTTCTCTCTCTAAACCCTAAATCGTTCAATCAAATAGGCATATAACACGTTATCAGCACACTCTTACCAAAAGTTGAGGAATTGACGCATGTAGGAGGAGGCTATCCACCACATTCAAAGGCTTATTCGTTCTCTGCTAATCAGGTACTCTTAAAATAAAGGAAGATATTTGAAACGTCCACGAAGCATGAAAACATTCCCCATGATGCATGAACCCTCCTATATTTACATTTTCTTTCCGATATATATATATATATATATATTGTATATGTTCATATATTTTTCAATATATATATATTTGTTTCATGCATTGCACAATTAAATTGTTATGTGGAATTTGTAAGTCAAATTATATAAAATAAAATAGAAGCATATTTAGGGTTTCCTAAGCCCTAAGGGATTTGTTTTTGAAAAAAAAAGGAAATTAGACATTGGATGTCACCACCCTGCGGCACAACATTGGTAGCAGCCCTTTGGGCTTTGCTGCACCTACTTGGACCCCCAGGCTTTCGGCCTGATTGATTAGAATAGGCCTGCAACCCTAGTTCTATCATTGAGGAGGCCCGCAGCCTTCATGGATCCAGACCAAACCCACGGCAAGCCTTGCTTGCTGGGTCCTTATCCCTCATGCATCCAGGCCCACAAACCTGCTCTCTCTGGTGCCAGCCCACTCGATTGGGCCTTGTTTCCTGGTGGCTCGCAGCACAGGAAGCCAGCCTATGCCATGGGGCTCCCATTCGAACCTACACGCCAGCCCATAGGGCTGGGTTTTGTTCCCCTGTGCACGGCCAGCACCTACTGGGCCTTGTCCCGTGCCCGCCTTCAGCCTAAACTGAAACCCAGCTGCTGCTGGGGCTTCTCCCTTACCTATGTGGCCTACATCCTACCCCCCGAGGTTTTTTGGGCCTTGCCTTATACTTTAGGCACCCAAACCCGTGCCACTTAACCCATGGCACCAAGCCCAATATTATTTTGGGGCTATATTTTCGATCCAATAATATTATTTTAATATTATTTTGCTTCTACAATCGACCCATTATGGCCCGATTTATTGAACTAATTAAAAGTGACCTGTAGTCCATTACTCTAATAATGAATATAAAATTATTGACCTGAAGATCACGTTTGGACATTAACGATTCAATAATTTATTTTTATACTTTGAACCGTCACATACTTTCGTAATAACGAGCTCTCACATTTGAGTTCCCAAAGAAACTCAAATCCACTATACTTATATCAGCATATTGCATTCTATGTTTCTTGCAGGAACTTCTCATTATGAACTAATTGTTCATAAAAACTAAATTGAACCTGTATTTTCAAATTTAGTGCCTTTGAAACCTGAAGTTTTCATTCAAAACATACCACATGAAACCCGTAGTTTTCATGCATAAATTAAACCACTACATGTCTATAGAACCTGTATGTTCTACGGTATATGTCTATGGCTTGCCATATGACTAATCACATTTTCTCCCTCCGTTTTAGGGACATGTCGAACTTGAACAAGCTCGATTTCTCCGCTCTAGAAGTATCTGGAAGAAACTATCTCAAGTGGGTTCAAGACGTGAAGCTCCATCTCACTGCAAAGGGCATTAGAGCCACCATCGAGGCACCTATTACTGACAAACCTGTTGACGAAGCTCAGAAGCCTATTGCAATAATCTTCATTCGAAGACACATCCATAATGCACTGCAGATTGAGTATCTTTGTGGATCCTAGAAGTCCACCACTCGCCCTTAAGGCTCCAAACTTCAAGAACAAGGGCAAAGCTCCTATTCAGGCTGCTTCTACTGAACTGAACATGTGCTATCGTTGTGGATCCCAGGATCATTGGTCACGCGTATGCCGAGCTTCCCCTAAGGTCATTGCCAAGTATCATTCCCGTCGTGAGTCTAACTTTGCACATGTGGATCATCCGGAAGATGCAACAACATCCATGGAGATATTGAACTTTTAGGAGGCATTATCACCTATGGATGAGTAAATTAGACATGTTTTTAGGGTGTTTTACCCCTAGTGGCCGAACCCATTAGGAGTCGCCAGCCCGACCCCCCTATTTTGTTAGGTTTATGGTTTAATTTTGAATGTATTTGGAATAATTTGCTTGGTCTTGGTTTGTTTTGAATTATGGATTGTTATTTGAATGGATATTATTTTCTCGAAATGCTTAATTGAATGAATGGACTTATATTTTTGCATGTGACCAATTCAATCAATTTATTTCTAGGTATGTCTAGTGGGGAAGTTAGTTGTCTGGCAGATAATGCAACCATGCACACCATCTTACGTGAACGACACTATTTTACTAACTTAATACCCAAGAAAGCTCATTTGACAACTCTCTCAGGCCCATCCAACCTGATTGAAGGATACGGAAAGGCACGTATCATGTTGTCTAATGGTACAATCTTGACTATTAAGGAGGCAATCTATTCTCCACGTTCCGGCATAACATTACTGAGTTTTAGAGATATTCGAGATAATAAATATCATCTTGAAACCACTAAAGATCATGGTTCTGAATTTCTTTATATCACTTCATACGAATATGGCCAGAAGCATATTCGCGAGAAGTTGGAACGTCTGCCGAGTGGGTTGTACATCATAATCATTTGCGGCAGAGAAGCCCATAGTGTGGCCGGCCCTATGCCTGAGTTCCAGGACACTTTCTTGCTTTGGCATGATCGTTTTGGACATCTTTGACATGACATGATGCGCCGTATCCTTAAATCTTCTCACAGGCATAAGTGACATCCCTATGTTGGATTTAAGTCATACAAAGTGTGTTCTTTAGGGAAGTTGAATATTCAACCCTCTTATACAAAGATTATTCACGACCCCCCTAAATTTCTTCAGAGGATTCAAGGGGACATTTGTGGACCTATCCAACCAACCTGCGGACCATTTAAATATTTTATGGTGTTGGTTGATGCATCGACAATATGGTCACATGTTTGCTTGTTGTCCACACGCAATGCCACGTTTGCTAAACTGCTAGCTCAAATCATTAAGCTAAAGGCTCACTACCCTGATTATCCGATTAAGTCAATTCGGCTGGATAACGCTGGAGAGTTTACGTTATAGACTTTTGACGATTATTGCACGTCAGTAGGGATTGATGTGGAACATCCTATGCCCTATGTTCACACCCAAAATGGCCTGGCAGAAGCTTTCATAAAGCACCTTCAATTGATAGCTTGGACTTTGGTTATGTGAACCAAACCTCCGGTATCTGCCTGGGGCTATGCAATATTGCACGCAGCTATGTTAGTCAGCCTGAGGCCCATCGCTACCCAACCACATTCACTGTTACAGTTGGTCACTGGATATAAGCCTAACGTCTCACATTTACGGGTGTTTGGGTGAGCCATTTATTTGCTAATAGCGCTGCCACTACGTACCAAAATGGGTCCTCAAGGAAAAATGGGAATTTATGTCGGTTATGATTCGCCATCAATTGTTCGATACTTAAAACCCTTGATAGGAGATCTCTTTACCGCACGTATTGCAGATTGTCACTTTGATAAGACAGTTTTCCCGTCATTAGGGGGAGATAAGCTTGCTAACGTTCCCGTAGAACGCCGCGAATTGTTGTGGTATGCTCCCACTATGTCTCATTTAGATCCCCACACTGCCTAGTTTGAAATTGAGGTGTGACGAATTATAGATCTTCAGAGCATTGCTCAAAGCATGCCAGATGTTTTTAATGATCTAGCTAAGGTAA